CCGCTCCCGCAGCCCCGCCCCCTCGCAGACCCTCTCCTCCTGCACCTTCTCCCGCAAACCTTCCCCTCCTTTAGCCCCGCCCCTCCTTTAGCCCCGCCCCTCCTTCAGCCCCCTTTGCAGGGACAGACTGTCTCCTTGACCCCACCCAGCTGTGGAGGCCATGCTGCCTGGCCTGGCCACTCTCCACAGTGGCCCCATTTTGCTTCTGCAAGGACCTTCCTGTGAGGGTCCACCTGGCTCTGCCCTGCTGTCCCTCTCCTCATGGGAATGGGGACAAAAGCCAGTTTCCTGTCTTCTCCCTGGAACTTCCTCTGCGCACCAGGGGATTAGGAGGGTTTTGTGGGATAAGTGAGGGTCTGTCTCAAGGGGAGAGGCTGCCCACCGTTCTCCCTGGGAGCTTATGGTGGATTCGAACAGTTGGTCTTTAGTCAGCAGCCCAACACGTAACACACTGGGCCACCAGGACTTCTTTTTAAGTAGGCGTGGCACAGTGGCTTAGCGCTCTGGGGCTAACCACAGTCACCAGCTCAAACCTGCCAAGCAGCCCTGGGACGAAGGGCCTATGCGGTGGAGTGGAGGTGGTGTGAGCCCTCCGGTCCACCGGGCCCTCGGCTCCCAGGGGTGGGTGTCAGACGCTCTGCCTCCGAGAGGAGAGTGGCCGCTTCCACCAGAAGCAGCTGGTCCGCGCCAGCCACTCGCCCTCCAGTCCGCACGCAGCTCCTGACCTGAGCCCACCAGAGCCCCCCGGGTCTAAAACTCAGCGAACCAAACCCAAGTCCCTGCGTCCAGTCGGTTCCAACTCACCACCACCCTCCTTCCAAATTCCAAGACTGAAAGTCTTCAAGGGAGGAGTCGGCCATGCATCTCTCACAGAGAGGCCGCTGGGTCCCAATCTCCAACTTCATGCTTAGTGGCCTGACACCTCCACCTGTCCCCAGGCCACCCCACCTCCCCGCCCACCTGTCCCCAGGCTACCCCACCTCCCCATCTGCACATCCTCATGCGGCCCCTCCCTCCCTTTCCTCTGTCCACAGGCTGACCCCCACCTCCCGTTCCCTGTCCGCATGCAGCTCCCACTTGCCTGTCCACCTATCTGCGTGCTGACCCCACCTCCCTGTCCGCGTACTGACCCCACCTCCCTATCCTCGTGCTGCCCCACCTCCTCATCCACGTGCAGCCCTTGGCCTTTGGCGTGCTCACGGTCATCCCGGTGTGACCTCTGGTTGTAGTCCAGGGGCCGGTGGAAGACACAGTCGTAGAGGGAAAGGATGCCCGTCTGAGAATGGAAGAGAGGTGCGAGATGGGAGATGCAGGGTTAATGGAAAACAGAGGCTGAAACCCAGGGAGCAGAGGGTCCCAGGGTGTCACAGGGGGCTTCTGGGGTGCTCAGCCACCATGGGGACTCTGCCCACCCACAGACAGCGTCTCTTAGGGGTTGGGGGAGGAGAGTTTCTCTCTTTCTGGACTCTGTCTGGGGAGGCTGCCCACTGGCTTTCAGGGGCTGACCTCCTAGAATGACATGGGGACCTTCTTCCCACTTACATCCAGGTGGACAAGACCTCCAAACTTTTCCTGACATGCCTGTCCACCCTTGGCGTGGCCAGAAACTTCTTTATAAACGGGAGTATGAGAGATGTGTGTCTAGATTCGTACACTCAGAAACATCAGCATCTTTCCTGTCAAGTCAGAACCACCTCTTGGCTGGCCCCCAACACCTTCTCAGGGTGGTAATTCTGGGGAGGGGACTGCCCACCTTCCTACCCCAGAGTGGCTAGTGGGTCTGAGCTGCCAGTCAGTGCCTTGGGATTAGCAATGCAGCTCCCCACGGACTCGGGCCTAGGAGAACACACACATCCAGGCGTGCATGCCACGTCCTGGCCCGCACAGCGGCTGTGTCAGCACACATCTAGCTCAGCACAGCTCTCTGGTGACCCCTCCCTCTCCGTCCCGTCCGGCACTGGATAGACTCGCCACCTTCAAGATCTCTCTCTCCAGTCACTATCATGTTGCTGTCGTTGATGACTGCTTTCGAGTTGAGCACGACTTATAGAGACCCTATGAACAAAAGGCCTGAAGCCCCTCTATAACTATCGACATTGATCAAAGTTCATAGGGTTTCCGGGGGCATGTTACTTAGGAAGTGGATGCCATTCCTGCTTCCAGACCTGTTATAGTATGTTACTGTGTTATGTGACATTGAGTCACCTGCGATGTATAGCGAACCTCTGGACAGCAGCTCTGAACCCTTCCCTGTCCTGAGCCAGTCTCACTAATTCCCACACACCAACACACCATTGCCCCAGTTACTGTATCAGTCCATCTCATCTGGGATCTTCCTCTCCTTCTCTGTCTGTCCACCCTTCCAAGCATGATGTCCTTCTCTAAGGACCAATCTCTCCTGGCCATGTGCCCAAAGCAAGTGAGACAGAGCTTCAAAATCGTAGCCTCCAAGGAGAGACTTGGCTTCACCCTCTCCAAGACAGACTGATTTGTTTTCTTGTCAGTTCATGGTAAGTTCAAGACCCTTCTCCAGCACCACAACTCGAAGACATCTATTCTTTTGTCATCCTTAGTCATTGCCCAACTCTCTGAAGCATAACAAGTAATTGAGAAGACCAGGTCCTGAATTAGGTGAACCTTTGTATCTAGACTGATGTAGTTGCTCTTCAGCACTCGAGAGGTCTATGACAGCAGATTTTCCCAATGCAATTCATCTTTTGATTTCTTGACTGCTGGTGTTAAGAGTGTTGATTGTGGATCTGAGCAAGCTGTAATTGTTAACAACCACAATCTCTTCTCCATCTATTATGGTGCTGCCAATTGCACAGTGGTGAGGATCTTTGCCTTCTTGATGTTGAGCTTCAATCCATATTGAAGATGACATTGAAGATGACAGTCCTTGACCTTCTGCAGCAAGTGCTTGAAGTCCTCTTCAGTTTCAGCGAGCAGGGTTGTGTCATCTGCATATCATAGGTTGTTAATGAATCTTCCTCCAAACTTGATGCCACATTCCTCCTCATAAAGCCCTGCTTCCCAAATGATCTGTTCTGCATACAGATTGAAAAGGTACAGGGGGACAGGATGCATCCCTGACACACTCCTTTCCTGGTTTTCAACCATGCAGTGTTTCCTTGCTCTGTTCTGAGGACTGCTCTTGATCCATATACGTTGTTGTTGTTGTTGTTGTTGTTGTTGTTATGTGCCGTCGAGTCACTTGCGACTCATAGCGACCCTATGTACAGCAGCCCTAAACTCTGCTCTGTCCTGTGCCAATCACACCGTCTCTGATACACCCATCCCAATTACCCCAGTCACCGAATCAATCCACCTCATAGAGGGCCTTCCCCTCCTGCACTGTCCCTCCACCCTCCCAAGCATGATGTCCTTCTCCAAGGACCTATCCCTCCTTACAACATGTCTAAAGTATGTTAGATGGAGCCTCAGAATCCTTGCCTCCAAGGAGTAGCCTGGTTTAACCCTCTCCAGGATGAATCTGTTTGTTTTCTTGGCAGTCCACAGTACCCTCAATACTCTTCTCCAGCACCACAGCTCAAAGGCATCAATTCTCCTTCTATCCTCCTTAGTCATTGTCCAACTCTCTGATGCATAACAAGTAATCCAAATATAGGTTTCGTATAAGCACGATCAAGTGCTCTGAGATAGAAGAGGGCTAAAAACTATGTGTCTCAGAGGAAACAGGAAGGGAAAGCAAAAGCAGTTACACCAAGGTGAGAGAACCTCCAGCGGCAGCCCAGAACAGGGGTCCATCAGGAAGAAACCCCCTCCTCAGAAACACAGGGAACCAAACCCCAACTCATCCCACAGGTCTCTGGGAGACGCCTGTCTATGACCAGTCTCCAGGGATCAGGGGCCAATACAAGCAGGGCCCCCCTGAGGCTCCCTTTCTTCTGCTGGCTGCATGCCATAAAGTGTGGGTCCTTTCCTGACTTTTCAGGAGTGTCCCCCCCCCATATCACTGCTATCACGTGCAAGCAAAATTCTGCTGAAGATCATTCAAAAATAGTTACAACAGTACATAGATAAGGAACTGTGAGAAGTTCAAGTGGGACTTAGAAGAGGCCATGGCACCAGGGATCTCATTGCTGATGTCAAATGCATCCTGGCTGAAAGTAAGGAATACCAGAAGAAATGTCTATTTGTGATTTAATGCCAATGCAAAGGTGTTTGACTGTGTGGATCATGGCAAGTTCTGGCTGACATTGAGACGAATGGGAATCCAGAGCACTTGAACCTATACCTGGACCAGGAGGCTGCTGTGAGAATGAAGCAGGAGAGCACGGCATGGTTTAAAACTGAGAAGGAAGTGTGTCAGAGATGTACTCTCTCTCCATACCTGTTCAATCTATATGCTGAGCAAATTATCTGAGAAGCTGGACTCGATGAAGAGGAGTGTGGCCTCGGGATTGGAGGGAGACTCATCAATAACCTGTGTTATGCAGATGACACAACTTTACGTGCTGAAAGTGAGGACTTGAAGCATTTGTTGCAGAAGATCAAGGAATGCAGCCTTCAGCAATAGATGGCATCTCAATATCAAGAAAACAAATACACTTACCACTGGACCAATGGGCAACAACGATGGATGGCGACTGAAACTGTCAACAGCTTCATCTTGATTGGATCCATAATTAATACCCTTGGTATGAGCAGTCAGAAAAGAAGGTGATGCATTTCAATGGGAAAATCTGCAGTTAGGGACCTTTCCAAATTATTGAGGAAGTAGTGATGTCAGTTTGAGGAAGGACTAGGGAGTGTCTGAATCAGGTCATGGTCTTTCTAATTACTTGCTATGCATCTGAGACCTGGAAAATGAATAAGGATGCCAGAAAAAGAATTGATGCCTTTGAGCTGTGGTGTTGGAAAAGAGCACTGAACATCCCATGGACGGCCAAGAGAACAGACAGATAGATCTTGGAGACGGTGTAACTGGATGATTCGCCTCACATACTGTGGACATGTTGCGAGGAGGGGCTATTCCTTGGAGAAGGACATGATGTTGGGAAGGGTGGAGGGTCGGCGAAGAAGAGGAAGACCCTCAACCAGGTGGACTGACATGGCTGCTGCAATGGACTCATGTGTCAGGAAGTCTGAGGATGGCGCAGGACAGAACTGGGTTCAGATCTTTTGTTCACAGGGTCGCTATGAGTTGATGACACTTAACAATCACAAACACCCCCACCCCCTTTACTTTTATCTTTAACTCTTTCACATGGCCTGTCTTTCACCACCCATGCCTTCCTTGCATTACCTTGTTGTTAGGTGCTGTCAAGTCTAGTCCAACACATAGAGACCCTATAAACAACTGATATGACCCCTGTCCTATCCTGTGTCGCCCTCACACCTCCTGACACACCAGAGCCCAATGTGGCAGTCACCGTGGCAGTCTACCTGGTCAAGCGTTTTCCTCTCCTTCGCCGACCCTCCATCTTTCTAACTAAGATGTTGTTCTCCAAGGAATAGCCCCTCCTAGCAACATGTCCTGATCTATGTGAGGTGAAGCCTCATCATCTCTGCCACCAAAAAGCACTCTGGCTGCACCCTCTCCAAGACAAAACTGTTTGTTCTTTTGACTGTCCAGTTCAGACTTTCAGTGATCCGAAAGACCACGGCTGGAATCAAACGCACTTTAGCCCTAACTGACATCAATGTTGTTATTGTTATGTGCCATCAAGTCTCTCGTGACGAATAGTGACCCTTTGTACAACAGCTCTAAACCCTGCCCTGTCCTGAGCCTGTCTCACTGACTCAGACACACCTAATCCCATTGCCTCAGTGACCATGTCAATCCATCTCTCATGGGGTCTTCCTCTCTTGCCCTCTCCCTCCACCCTTCCAAGCTCGATATTCTTTTTTAAGGACTGGTCCACATGCCCAAAATATGTGAGATGGAGCTTCAAAATCCTTGCCTCCAGGGACAAACTTAAGTTTCATCATGTATAAGACAGACCTACTTGTTCTAGTGGTCCATGGTATGTTCAAGACTCTTCTCCAGCACCACAACTCAAAGGCATCTGTCATCCTTAGTCATTGTCCAACTCTCTGATGTACAGTAAGTAATTGTGACAATTATACCCTAGATCAGGTGCATCTTAGTCTCTAGACTGACATCACTGCTCTGGAGAACTTTAGAGAGGTCTCTGACAGCCGACTTCCCTAGGGCAATTCATCTTTGGATTTCCTAACTGCTGGTGCCAAGAGTGTTGATTGTGGAGCTAAGCAAGCTGTAACTGTTAACAACCTCAATCTCTTCACCAT